CGCCTTCTACTTTCCGCTTTCCGTTTTAGTCTCCGGATGCCACGCATCGCTGCGGCTCGAGGCCGCCTACCGTCTCACCCTTGGGGCGCTTCATGTTCGTCTGCAATCTCCTACAACATGTGTGTTTGCGTCTACCGTCCATCCACCGGCTGCTTAGCTTTGAGAAGTTGCTCCTGCCGTGATCACACAAAGTTTCCCTAATGGCACAACCTAACGTCAACATCATATGTTGGAATGTTCGAGGCCTCAACTCGCGTGCCCGCCGGGATGCCGTTCGGTACATCGTCCGGGACTCTCATGCCTGCATTGTCTGCCTCCAAGAGACTAAACTCCAGGCTGTTGACGATGCCATCATCCGCGAGATGCTCGGCCCGTGTTTCGTCGCAAACTACTATATCCTCCCGGCCGTCGGCACCCGCGGGGGTTTGATTCTGGCCGCGTCGGACCGCTTCTTCACCCTCTCCGACTTCCATGCGACTCCGGGCTCCATCTCCGCCACCATTACCATGCTCAATGAGCACACTTCATGGACTATCACGGGCGTCTATGGCCCGCAGGGTGAGCAGGACAGGTTGGCCTTCATTGAGGAGCTTAGGACTCTCAAGACCGTGGCAAGAAGCGAGTGGCTCCTTTTGGGGGATTTCAACCTCATCACTAAAGCGGCGGATAAGAGCAACGCCAACATCAATCGCCGCCTGGTGGGCAAGTTTCGTGGGGCTCTTGATTTCTTGCAACTAAAGGAGCTTCACCTGGGCGGGCGCCGTTTCACCTGGTCCAATGCGCAGGCCAACCCGGTCCTTACCAAGATTGACCACGTATTCCACTCCGACGATTGGGACATGCTCTTTCCCAATGCGCATCTTCAGGCTATCACTACAGCTTGCTCGGATCATGCTCTGTTATACCTTCAGGGGTGCGTTGACACCTTGAGAAAATCTTCCTTTAAATTCGAGGAATTCTGGCTTCGTCTCCCGGGCTTCAAGGACACCATCGCCTTGGCATGGAACAAGCTTGTCCAGGCCCGTGATGCCATCCGCAAGATTCATATCAAGCTTTGTCGGACCGCGAAGGCCTTGCGCAAGTGGCAAAAGGAAAAAGTTGGGATGCTTGGCTCCCAGATCGCAGTTGCCAAGGAGATCATCTGGCGCCTGGATGTTGCTGGGGAGGGAAGACCGCTCTCGGATTCTGAGAGGGATTTGCGTAAACAGCTAAAGGCATCGTACCTGGGGCTACTAGCCATTCAGAAAATCAAGCTGAGACAGCGCTCTAGGCTAAACTGGATCCGCCTGGGGGATGCCACCACTAAGCTTTTCCATGCTCGTGCGAACGGACGTAGGCGTAAGAACTTCATTCAGACGATCACGACCACCTCGGAGCTGGCAATTACCAGACAGGACAAGGAGTGGGCCCTTCTAGACCACTTCCAGGCTAATATTGGCACGCCTGCCCGGCGCACCAAGTCCATTGTCTGGGAGAATATCGGGATGCATCGCCACGACCTATCGGCTCTAGACGATCCGTTCGATGAGGCGGAGATCAAGGAGGCGGTATTCTCCTTACCTTCGGTCAGGGCCCCGGGCCCTGATGGTTTCATCGGTGCCTTCTTCAAATCATGTTGGGAGATCATCAAAGCGGATGTCGTGGCTGCGGTGATGCAGCTCGCGAACCTACAAGGCACCTGCGCTGGCCTGGTAAATTCAGCCAACATTATTCTCCTCCCAAAAAAAGTCGGCGCATCATCGATTGGTGACTATCGCCCTATCAGCTTGATACACAGCATCTCCAAAATCTTCTCCAAGTTGTTGGCTAACCGGCTAGCCCCTCTGCTTCCGTCGCTGGTTTCCAAGAGCCAGAGTGCCTTTGTGCAGAAACGGTGCATCCATGATAATTTCCTACACGTGCAAAACTTGATCAAAGATTTGCACCGCTCTTCAACGCCAGGCCTTTTCCTCAAGCTCGACATCTCCAAGGCTTTCGACTTTGTGGGTTGGGCTTACCTCCTGGAGGTGCTGCAACAATTGGGTTTTGGTCAGCGCTGGCGGGACTGGATCTGCATGATCCTCGCTTCATCTTCCTCCAGGGTGCTGTTAAATGGGGAGCGGGAACCCCATTCGCGCATGGAAAAGGCCTTCGCCAGGGCGACCCGGTGTCGCCTATGCTCTTCATTCCGGCCATCGATCCTCTACAACTTATGCTCTGGGCGACTTCCCAGGCTGGGATCCTCAAGCCCATCATGGCGCGACCGGCCTCCTGCAGGGTTTCTCTCTATGCGGACGATGCTGGCATCTTCACTAACCCGGTCAAAGATGAGATCGACGCCATTGCTCGGATCCTTGCCTGTTTTGGGGATGCATCCGGCCTCATCACAAATGTCAGCAAGACCGAGGTGTTTCCCATTTGCTGCCAAGACATTGATCTCCCGGCCATCCTTTCGGCCTTCCCGGCCAAGCTGGCCTCGTTCCCCGGCCGATACCTGGGTCTCCCACTACATACCAGGCGACTCAGAAGGGTTGACCCCCAACCTCTTCTGGACAAGGCAATGGGTAGGTTGCCGGGCTGGAAGGGGAAGAATCTGGCGCGTCCGGGCAGGGTCTCCCTTGTAAAGTCCGTGTTGTGCGCCATCGCAAATCATCACCTCACTGCGCTCTCGCTCCCCACTTGGGCAATCCAGAAGCTCAGTAAGATCACTCGTAACTTCATCTGGTGTGGGGAAGACTCAGAAAACGCGTCTGGTGGACACTCTCTGGTCAACTGGAAGACTGTCTGCCGGCCTAAGCCCATGGGGGGCCTGGGAATCACAGACCTCGAGAGATTTGGTCGGGCGCTCCAACTTCGCTGGCCTTGGCTTATGTGGACTGATCCTGACCGCCAATGGGTCGGCTCTGCGGTGCCCTGTGATGAGACGGATATGGCACTCTTCAGGGCTTCTACCACCATCTCCTTGGGCAATGGGAGAAAATCCTTATTCTGGCTCGACGACTGGACAGGACGGGGCCCTCTGTCCCGGGCCTTCCCGGAGCTGTACAAAATTGCCACCAGGAAGCGAAGATCTGTGATGAAGGAGCTCCACGAGGAGAACTGGATCAGATCGGTTGCCTGTCTTTCATCGCCTACCCACCTGCAGGAGTTCATTGCCCTCGCTTCACTCATCACTCAGGTGGCGTTGAACCCGGACTAGGAGGACTGCATCACTTGGCGGTGGACCCCCAATGGCATATACTCTGCTGCCTCGGCCTACGCGGCCCAGTTCTCTGGATCCTATCCCAGGTTCTCCCCGGCCAAGATTTGGGAGGCACATGCTGAGCCAAAATGTAAGTTCTTCGCCTGGCTTGTGCTCCACGGGAAGATCCTCACGGCCGACATGCTAGCCGTTCGTGGCTGGCGGCACGACCCTTGTTGTTCCCTTTGCCTTCGAGCTCCGGAGACGGCCACTCATCTCTGCAAGGACTACCCGTTTGCCGCCGCAGTTTGGTCTCACGTCCAGGTCTGGACGGGAGAGGACTCTGGGGCTACGCCCACGTTGCCCCCTTCTATGGGGATTTCGGACTGGTGGGATTCGCTCACCACCAATCTGCCCAAGAACGACAGAAGAAGGCAGAGCGGCCGCTTCCTTTACACCATCTGGAACATCTGGAAGGAGCGAAACCGACGCATCTTCAATGGAACTCGCCTCATGCACCTCGAGGTTGTAGCTATTGCCTTCGAAGACATCAAGCAAAGGTCCCGGGCCTTTGGCCGGGCACATGTGGCAACCGGTATTGGCTGATTAGTGCCATCGTGTGGTTTTTTCTAGGGGTTTTTGTCCGGTTTCTCTTCTAAAAACCGGAACACTCTTGTACATAAACCTTATTCTTCTTCTTATATGAAAAGGCAGTGCTCCTGCCGGTTCCTCAAAAAAAAATTGCCTTGGGAGCGCACACAGGTAGTGGATATAATTTTCTTTTGACAATGTTTGTAGATTAAAAAAAATAGCAACTTAGTTTCAGTTGATGCATCATGAAATGCTTTTATACTATATTTATTTGGTATTATAGATGTTGGTCTATTTTTATAAACTTGATTAAAAATAAATAATTTTGACTTAGAAAAAAACTAATATTCCTTGTGTTCCGGTTATGAATGAGTAGAGTACTCCAAGGAGTAATTACCAGCGTCTGAGCAGCCGAGCAGGGGCCTTCTCATTGAAGAGATATGCATTCTTGTGTTTAGGGGCATTATGAATTCGCCTTGGGAGCACACACGGACAATGAAAAAAATGTGAAACACAAATAATGGATATATTGATCATGTGGATTGAAGGATGGTAGAATTTTTATGTATAACTAGCTGGCTAAATAAAAATCAAAGTGTTATTGCGGATGCAATCAGGTAATCAACAAACAATGTCATATTTTTCTCAAGAAAAAACAAGTACTTCCTCCGTAAAGAAATATAAGAGCATTTAGATCACTACTTTAGTGATCTAAACGTTCTTATTTTTCTTTACAGAGGGAGGTGCATACGCGCGCTACCACATGCGAGGAAACATTCAAACAACGATATATTATTACTATGTTTTCCTGTTCCTACCTTTTAAAATCTTGCCTCAGCCCTAAGAAGTCTCGGGCCACTCCAATTCCTACTTTATAAGTTACAGAAAATGCAACACTAAAGATATTTGTATCCTATATATCACCGGTATAGTCCATTGTCCCCTGATCTTTTGCCATGCATTTCTCGAGCCAGGATGCCATTTTCCAGCTACTTGCATTACGGAAATGACAAGTAATCACTATTTTAAATGAACAGGTATGGAAGAAAAAGAATACAGGAGTCGCCACTAGCAATCAGCTAGTGACTAGGCCAACAAAGAAGACCAACTGGGCACCTTCCGTATGGTGCAAAGGAAGGCATCAGATGGTTCATGATACCAGCTGGAATCCAACACCACCAAGGCAGCAGATGCCATATGCTTCCCAGGTAGCAGGTGATGCCCTTTAAGCCTTTTGACATCCGCTGCATTATACATTAAAATTTTCACGACTTGTTCTATTGCTGCTTATTGTTCTATTGCTGCTTATCTCAGTAAGCGATGGCGAGGAGAATCTGTGATATCTGTCGTTATCTGAAGAAAACACCGGCAGCTGTGGGTCGAGAGTTGGTGGTGGTGGGAGGTTCCTTTGTGCCGGAAGTGGTGGTACCCCATTGAACATGAAATCCTCGCCGCTATAGCTGCAAAAATGTGTGCATAAGTGCAACTATACAACATGTTTAATATGGGCTCACAGTTATCCTTCGGGTGACGAAAGAGTTCTCCTTTATACTTTCCTTTCCATTTATTTGTATGTGTTGGGATTTCTTTGACAGGGGAGTTGATTTTTCCATGTTAGGCATGCTCACCTTTTCCTTTGAAAGTTATCGGTATCATCTTTGCGGGTCACTACAGGAAGGATGCTATCTTCCCTTGGAGTAAGAGACCAGGGACTTGGCACAGCAGGTTCGTTCGAGAAATATCTTCTCCTGATCAACTGAAAGATGCATCCCAACAGCATTAGCAGATGAAAAAAAAAGGAAGTATGAAAAAGCAAATCAATGAAATAGTTGAAAACAAACCATGCGGAAAAACTTGGTCACAGCTTCTTTGTCATATCTTGCTTCTTTGGCAGCCTGCAATCAAAGGTTCGCATGTTATGCAAAAAATAACTGAAACGACAAAGGACGTAAAAAGATGGCTGTTCCATAAAAGAACATGAATTGAATGTAGAGCAAGAGATGAGCAGAAGGTATTCAACAAGGAACCTAACCGAGATGAGACCAGAGTTCCCAGGAAAACTCTCTGTGAGTGGAAGTTCTTCACTACGAGGAAGAAGACCCCGCTTTTCAATCCATTGACGAGCAAGATCAACAATACTTCCGCTTCTGATTCGAGTGCCATCGCTTGGAACAATATCCACTTTGTTAGCAATTACAAGGTAAGGCACTGGAAGTCCTCCTGGTCCACCAGATCCAAGTATGGCTGAAAAGGTGCCTGTTTCGGCAACTTCAACTGCCCATTTATTCAAATTTGTCTTGGTCTTCCTCTGGGAGAGGTCATAAACAAAAATGACACCTGACAGACAACGTTGGGAACAGTGAATGTTGTATTTGAAAAGAAATAACAACTGATGTAATAAGTATTTCTTTATGGATCTAAAGAAGGACGAGTGTTTCTAAGAGGTTTCATCAGCTGAACTAAGTGGAGCAAGAACAACAAATACAAAAGAGCTGTTACAATCTCAGGATTTAGGCATTAGCGGCTGCAAATATAAAAATAAATCCTTCCCTTGAAGCATTTTTGGGTCAAATAACAACTAAAATAGATCAGCTTGCTCATACAGTACAAAACTACTAAAGATAGGCCGTGCTGGGCACAAAGATGCAGAGAGCAGCAACACGCTGGTAATTAAGAGAAAAACATCGTTTACCATTGATTTGTGTATAGAAGATCGAACGACAAGCTTTGTAGCGGTCATGTCCTGAGACATCCCAAAGCTCAACAAAGAAATTTCTTTCAGAATCATTACTGATGTTATTAGAAGACCCCCCTGCACTTCCACAAGTAACATGCTGAAATAATAACAGTGACAATGTAAGTGGATTAAATAAATGCAAATGGTACAAGCTGGGAAAGCATAGAGCGAGAACACCTACTTTAATGCCCACCGCACAACCTACTGTCTGAGCTGGTCGAGCAATAGCAGAGCCTTCTAAGATGAGATGCACCAGCGAAGATTTACCGACACCTGAGAGAGAAATAAGGAAATTTAATGCAACTGAAGAACCATATTCAGAAGAGTACAACAGCATGCAATTATGGTGTGGTTTTTCGACAACCGATTTTCAGACGCATACAAAAAAGTTCAGCCACTATTGGTGTAACAGAGTAACTTGTATGGGCAGTTGAGCACAGTTAAGAAAATACAGTAGAAGGTTGCGTTGAATATATTTTTTTCTATATTTCTAAGGATGGCGGATGCAATATGGAGCTTATAACAAATAAATAACTGGGTTCCACGCATGGTCCTAGTCCAGATTTTACTTGGCATTGCTTCATGTTGTAGTCCAGATCATGGCGTGACGCATAGCAGGACAACATCACAAATTGCAGACACCACAAACTTGTTTCAGAAAAAGAGAGAAAATCCTTGTATACCACTGAATACGGCTATAGTCCGTAATTGCCACAGCAAAACTCCCTATTGCAGTTATGTCCCCTCTAAGACCCAAATATTAAGTGCATTGAGGCATATGTGAAACGAAGGTTTCACTTGGTGATCTTTCAGTCAGATTTTTTTGCGCACACCCAAAGGATTTTCTAAAATTGATTGGCGTGCTTACTGAATGAGTTTGTACATACAAAAAGTAAACAAATGTAGTAGTACAAGGGCAAAAAGACGAGTGTCTCCCACTCCATTTGGCTTCCCAATCACCCACATCCAAGCAGGAAAAGTTCAGAAAGATGGACCATTGTCCCCAAGCCAACTCACAACACCTCCTTTCTGTACTCGATTTGTTCACCATGTGTGATCCGAGGACGAAGGTGGAAGTGGAACCGGACAGTGACAAATAGGCTCTCAATAGGCAATTCACGATCATCAGTGACACATGCCTATTCTACGTTCTCCCAATCTCACGCCATTCGCCAACCACCAGAGGTTCAGGGAGTCACAGACGGGACGGGAGGCACGGGGAGGAGAGGACGGACCTGAATCGCCGACGACGAGGACGCGCACCTGGCCAAAGGGGCCGACGCCGCTCTGCTCCCGGCCGCTGCTGCTGCTGCTCCGGGCGCTGCTGTCCTTCCAGAACATGGCCGGCGGTCAGGCGACGCCCGGCACGGCCGCGCCCTCGACGAGACCAGATCACGAGAGCGGTAGGCGCGATTCGAACCGCCGGGCAGGAGACGGAAGGAATCTCAGGCGAGGAGGGCTGGAGCACCAGCCGCGAAGGAGCATTCCAGTTTTCAGGGGGGTCGTGGCGGGTGCGAACGGGATGGCCTGACGCTGACGGGAGAGTTGCGCTGCGTTTGGCGTGCGTGTCGGTCGATGCTCTGCTCTTCTCTTCTCTTCTCTTCCTTTTTTATCGGTTGGCGGATTGTGATGGCGATGTGAATTTTCGGCTCTTTCGTTTGATCCAAGGCGACTACAAGTACACAGTTCACGCCTGGGATTGACCTTGGATTAAAGAATGCACGCTTGGCCGTGTAGCACATGACGCCGTACAGTAAGTCAACATCTGAGATCTCCTGCAAGTCAGATTGGGAGCATCTGATTCTGATCTGATACTGGGAGCTCGGGATTTTTCTTTCCTTTGACACGGGATTTGCTGCGCGTCTCGGCCAAACGCGCACTGATTGATGTTAGGCTCGCCTGCATCACACACACGCACCGCGTCGGCGAGCATGCAACTTGCTCTACTGACCGAGGAAATACTAGAAGCGAGCCAAACAGTAGTAGGCAGTTGGACTGCGCAGAAATAACGAACATGGCCAAAAACACATGACCCAACCACTCAGAGGTAATTCTGACGTTTTACATGTTGCTCTACTATACTAGCTCCGTAACTAAATATAAGATGTTTTTGCAGTTCAATTTAAACTTCAAAAACGTCTTATAGTACTTAGTTACAGAGGTAGTAGTTCCTAAAGATCTCTACCAAGACCCCTCGAAAGAAAGAAAATCTCTCTACCAAACTAGATTACATCTGATATGAGCTAGATCAGCATGGTTGTACTTTTACCATTCTTCTATCTCATCTTCATCTTCTTCACAGTTATTCCCTTCAGCATCAAGCATGTCAATGGAGTTTGGGCCACCTGCGACGTCGTGGCGTGAGGGGTTATTTCTGGCCATATCATTGTGGGGGCTTATCCATCTCTCGAAAGGCCTGAAGTCAGTGACCACCTCGGAGAAGTTGCGAGAACCAGACGTGCTAGACGAATCAAATCTTTCTTTAAGAATCAGACCCTGCATTGTTGTTTCCAACAAAACGAAATTACAGATCATCAGATGCCAGCTGACAAACATGAATAGAATGAAAATGGAAAACTGATCAGCACCACACTCATCTAAGTACAGCTATGAACTTTCATCAGCACGGTACAACATTAAAGTAAAATGAGATTTATATTTTCAAATGAAGAGCACCTGAATGTCTCAAGAGCCTAGAACGAAATTTTATACATGGTGACTTCAATCAAAAAGAAGAAAAATGTGATATCAGCATACAGTGACGCTCACGATGTATTTTTATTACAGAAGACAACGTGCACAAAGATGGATACATAACTCATTTTTCAAGATCAAGTTAAATGCATGAAAGGTAGCATGGTGTCAAATTACCTTTGTGGATCGAAATGTACGCTCAATTTGCCAGACCTTAGGGCTGCGTATTGTATGCCATCTGCTTAGGTCAAATCAGAGGAAAAAATATTAGCCCAGGATCCTTAAAAGAATTGTGTTGATAAGCAGGTACCTTGAGGGTGAGGGATGTGCATTTCCAAAAAGAACTCCTCGTGCTGCAACAGAGGCAGCAATAAGTTGTGACATGTTTTCTAACTCATTTGATTCATTTACAGTCCAACGAGCCGATGCGATTGGACTGCCAGCAAGAAGGCAGTCTGCCTCACTCAAATATGACATCACAACCCATGCATCATCAACAGCATCATCGTCGATGAAATCAACAACTGAAAAACATCAATACCAATTCATTAATAAATAAAAAATAGTGAGAACATACTGTCAATAGCTGAGCACACTATTTCCTAGAGAGAAGCTAGAGTCAGGGTACAAAACTAGAATTTAGAGCCTGTTTGGGACTACTCTGCTCCTTCAAATTCAGCTCCGCTCCAGAAAACACAAGCCAAACGGCGTAGCTCCACAATATGCCGCTCCGCAAAAAAACTAGAATCTGGTGTACAACTCCCAGTTTTTTATGAAGCTCTTCAAGGGGTGCTCCAAAAAACTCTAGAAGCTGGAGTTGGGTGGAAATTACCCACCACTGCCACCAGTAAGTGGATACCCCTTCGTTTCTCCCCCCTCAACCAATCAAACAGATTCTTTCCACCAAATATCTCATTCTTGAAGCTGGAGCTAGATGGCAGCCAAACATTCTCCTTAATAGTACTACAACTTCTAGATGAAACTGCTCCAAAGTAAATTTAGTGGAGCGAAACCGATTTTTGTGAAGCGGAGCAGTCCCAAACACGCCCTTAGTCCTATTAGAATATACCAATTATATGGCTCGTTGATTCATGCTCATGTGACCGGCAATGATGCATGACAGAAGTTAATATTAAATGCAGCATGTTTAGTTAAAGCAGCAACTTGTCTATAGCGCCCTACATCCACACGAGTACTTTTGGTAGTTCTAGAATCACTGTTTCACAAATGAGCATGAGATCAACTGACAGCTGTGAGCCTCTGACAAGCATAAATGTGCAGTATACAGTATATCGCGCGAAACCGGATTGATGTTAAAACTATCATAAAACTACAGGTTTAAGGACCAATTTCCCAGAACTAGATATTTAGGGGTCAATTGTATCTCAAAAAACTAAGATGCTCTGGGGTGCACCTATATCGCCACCTGGTCTGGCCATCCGGGCCCATATGTTGCTCTCAAATTCTTGATCATTTCCATGCTGAAAATTGCCATGTTGGATCAGAGGTCAAGTGATTTGGTTTGCTAGATGGAACCAGTCCAGGATTAGTGAGCATGACGTGAGTTTGGGCGGGAATTTAGTAGTTTTGCGGTAGTATTGATCCCTAAATTTGCAGCTTTGTGAAATCAATCCTTATCTCTACAGGTTTATGTTTTCACCTGGTGTTTTCACGAAATTTACTCCATAATACATGACGTTGCCCGACGTACAATCAAGTAAACTCATATGATGTAGCCCGCCAAGTACAATCAAGTAAACTCATATTCAAGAGCGAGCATAAGATAAAAAGAACAAAAGCAAACTCAAATTCATAATGCTCCTTATATAAGTAGAGCTCTCTACTGTTTACCATTTTCATGTAGAAAGTCAGCAACAGTTCGTACTTTTCCGTGTGCTTGAGAAAGAATCATCTCTGGAACATCCATTTTTAGTGGATTTCTTCTTAGCTGTTCTTTGAGAGAAAATGAATCCAGATCTACAGCACAAATATAACAAAGGTTCAGAGACCAAAAGCTAAGTTATATATAAATGATGAACACCGCTCTCCCACACATGCTGAAAAACACAACCTTCCATCCCATAGTCCAGTAAAAAAAACTGTTAACCCAGACAAAAGGTACAAAGTAGACTGTAGTGGTGTGTAGCCAGTAACCACGATTCATTATAGAAAATGTGGAATTCAAGACATGGAAATCAAGTAAGTACTCCCTCTGTCCCAAAATAAGTGTCGTTGATTTAGTACAACTTTGTACTAAGTCAACGGCACTTATTTTGAGACGACAAAGCAAATTAAGGAAAATGAAGGTAATATAAATCAAGCACAAAATCCAACCATGATAAATGCTGCACAAACAGACAGGAATAGCCAAACGAACAAAATATTCTACAAGAAACAATAAAGGTGCATCACTATAGAACTTATATGTTAAAGTTAGATCAGATAGACTGAAAAGGATGTGTGGTCATTGTTCAATAAACGACTGTATAGGTACAAAAGAAACTAGCATAGAAAATGAAGTACTCCCTCCGTTCCAAAATAAGTGTTGTGGTTTCAGTTCAAATAAAACCACGACACTTATTTTGGAACGGAGGGAGTAGCATATAAGATGGAATTCTGTCTAGTTCAAACAAGTCAATTAGAAAAATGTGAATAAATATGTTCCACAAAATAACCTTCAGAAAAATAAAGAATATATAGACATTTCAATTTAAATCAATATATGCTGTTTTAATTAACCACACCGCGAAATGAAGATCTATTTGAAAAGGAACCAAAGTCAAGAAGAGAATTGTACAGAAGATGGTATAATCATTACGTACCAATGTTGACATCAACATGGGTTTCCCTTTTATTGTGCAGAAACTTCCCTAATGCATGAAATAATGTAAGTGTCTCATCCCTTCCGCATGGAGAATGAATTACAGAGCCGAGGCCATAACAGTCCTGCGCTGGAGCTAGAGTAGCATGACCCTTTAAATCCGACAAAGAAGCACTTATTGCCAATGCAGAATCTAGCCTTCGTGGATTAAGACAATAGTATTGAAGAGACATTATCGCATGTCTGATATCACCTCCACAAGATGTAGCAATTTGATGCACTAATTCTTCAGTTGTGCCAGAGCCTCCTTGTTTGCATATTCTAAGAAGAATTTTTTTCATAGAACTTATGGTTACCGGATTGAAAACAATCTGCATAGATATTAATGGTGCACTATGAGGGACATGCACCGAAATTCAAAAACTTGTTACCATTATGGTAATAAAAGCTGCCAAATAAAATCTGCAGTTATAGTTATACTGGGCAAGTGTACCTTATGAGCACCAGCACCTTGAAGCAAGGACTCAAGTTCCTCGGAGTTCCACGTTGCAGTATCATTAGCCTCATTTTTGTGATGGTGAGTAAGTGAAATGACAGTTGGTATTTGAGTAGTTTGAATTAGTCCTGTTAAACATTTCCCTAGTCTTGCAAATGAAGCTTTTCCACTTGTTATAGGGATGTCATCAATCAGAATGATGATTAGCTTTCTTTGGGATCCAATGCTGGTTGGAGAAAGCAATGAGTATTTCCTTATCTTGTTCACAAAATTTTCAAATTCTTCCAACTTGGATACATACTCAAGTTCTGCAAATGGTCATTGAAAGAA